ACCATACACAACACACACACACATGTAACACACACAAACCCACACACACACAACCATACACAACACACACACACACATGTAACACACACAAACCCACACACACACAACCATACACAACACACACACACATGTAACACACACACAACCATACACAACCCACACACACAACCATACACAACCCACACACAACCATACACAACCCACACACACAACCATACACAACCCACACACACACAACACACACACACATGTAACACACACAAACCCACACACACACAACCATACACAACCCACACACAACCATACACAACCCACACACACATAACCATACACAACACACACACAACCATACACAACACACACACACATGTAACACACACAAACCCACACACACAACCATACACAACACACACACACATGTAACACACACAAACCCACACACACACAACCATACACAACCCACACACACAACCATACACAACACACACACACATGTAACACACACAAACCCACACACACACAACCATACAAAACACACACATGTAACACACACAAACCCACACACACAACCATACACAACACACACACACACATAACACACACAAACCCACACACATACACAACACACACACACACACATGTAACACACACAAACCCACACACACAACCATACACAACACACACACACATGTAACACACACAAACCCACACACACACAACCATACACAACCCACACACGCACGTAGGGACAGGCGAGTGTAGGCGGGCACGTGCTGCGAAGCTGTTAATCATTGATTTGAGCCCTCTGTATTAGAGGATTCATATTCTCTGAACTTCGTAAGGGACGGTGGTGAGCGGAAAGTGCATTTATTACCAGAATCCACTGAGTGCTTCAGCCCATAAACAGGTTGGCTAATGAGGCAACTAGCCAACGCCTTCACACCCCCCACGCACACAAAGTGAGACTCCACTCACTGTGACACCACTCAGTGTGACTCACTGTGACACCACTCACTGTGACACCACTCACTGTGACTCACTGTGACACCACACACTGTGACTCACTGTGACACCACTCACTGTGACAACACTCACTGTGACTCACTGTGACACCACTCACTGTGACTCACTGTGACACCACTCACTGTGACTCCACTCACTGTGACACCACTCACTGTGACTCACTGTGACACCACTCACTGTGACACCACTCACTGTGACTCACCATGACACCACTCACTGTAACACCACTCACTGTGACTCACTGTGACACCACTCACTGTGACACCACTCACTGTGACTCACTGTGACACCACTCATTGTGACACCACTCACTGTGACTCACTGTCACTCACTGTGACACCACTCACTGTGACACCACTCACTGTAACTCCACTCACTGTGACTCACTGTGACTCAACTCACTGTGACACCACTTACTGTGATACCACTCACTGTGACTCACTGTGACACCACTCACTGTGATACCACTCACTGTGACTCACTGTGACACCACTCACTGTGACACCACTCACTTTGACACCACTCACTGTGACTCACTGTGACACCACTCACTGTGACTCACTGTGACACCACTCACTGTGACTCACTGTGACACCACTCACTGTGACTCACTGTGACACCACTCACTGTGACTCACTGTGACACCACTCACTGTGACACCACTCACTGTAACACCACTCACTCTGACACCACTCACTGTGACACCACTCACTGTGACACCACTCACTGTAACACCACTCACTGTGACACCACTCACAGTGACACCACTCACTGTGACACCACTCACTGTGACTCCACTCACTGTAACACCACTCACTGTAACACCACTCACAGTGACACCACTCACTGTGACATCACTCACTGTGACTCACTGTGACACCACTCACTGTGACTCACTGTGACACCACTCACTGTGACTCCACTCACTGTGACACCACTCACTGTGACTCACTGTGACACCACTCACTGTGACCCACTGTGACACCACTCACTGTGACACCACTCACTGTGACACCACTCACTGTGACTCACTGTAACACCACTCACTGTGACTCACTGTGACACCACTCACTGTGACTCCACTCACTGTGACTCACTGTGACACCACTCACTGTGACACCACTCACTGTGACTCACTGTGACACCACTCACTGTGACTCACTGTGACTCACTGTGACACCACTCAGTGTGACTCACTGTGACACCACTCACTGTGACTCACTGTGACACCACTCACTGTGACACCACTCACTGTGACTCCACTCACTGTGACTCACTGTGACACCACTCACTGTGACTCACTGTGACACCACTCACTGTGACTCCACTCACTGTGACTCACTGTGACACCACTCACTGTGACACCACTCACTGTGACACCATTCACTGTGACTCACTGTGACACCACTCACTGTGACACCACTCACTGTGACTCCACTCATTGTGACACCACTCACTGTGACTCACTGTGAGACCACTCACTGTGACTCACTGTGACACCACTCACTGTGACACCACTCACTGTGACACCACTCACTGTGACTCACTGTGACACCACTCACTGTGACTCACTGTGACACCACTCACTGTGACTCCACTCACTGTGACTCACTGTGACACCACTCACTGTGACACCACTCACTGTGACACCATTTACTGTGACTCACTGTGACACCACTCACTGTGACACCACTCACTGTGACACCACTAACTGTGACTCACTGTGACACCACTCACTGTGACTCACTGTGACTCACTGTGACATCACTCACTGTGACTCACTGTGACACCACTCACTGTGACTCACTGTGACTCACTGTGACACCACTCACTGTGACTCACTGTGACACCACTCACTGTGACTCCACTCACTGTGACACCACTCACTGTGACTCACTATGACACCACTCACTGTGACTCACTGTGACTCCACTCACTGTGACACCACTCACTGTGACTCACTATGACACCACTCACTGTGACTCCACTCACTGTGACACCACTCACTGTGACTCACTGTGACACCACCCACTGTGACACCACTCACTGTGACACCACTCACTGTGACACCACTCACCGTGACACCACTCACTGTGTAGTTTCGACGTTTATTCTCATGCTTAGCTGAACATCACGGGTGAGTTCCTGATGTGAAGTCTAACAACGTTCCAGAGGGGCTACAGAGTTGACATTTTGCGCGCGGAGAGTTGCGTCTGCGTTTAGTATCAGCGGCAACACCGTGACAGGCCCACAGTCATCCAACTTGAGGCCCCACACAATAGGAGTGTTCATAGGAATAGGTTTTTACCCTTTTAACTGGCACAAAAACTGACACCTTTATTCAAGGCAAACATGATGCCTTGAATAAAGGTGTCAGTTTTTGTGCCAGTTAAAAGGGTAAAACGTATTCCTATATCTTGTTACTGGCAAAGGAGGTCTCATAATGGGAGTGTTCATGTTTCGATCTTTCAAGATATTTTCATCTCAGGAGAGTCGCGGTTTTTGTTTTTCTCTCTATGCGGCCGAGCGGTCCGATCACAAAGCCCCTCTGGGAATCAGGGTCGGTGGGGGCCAAAGGTCAAAACGATCGGAGTGTTTGTGCTCACGTGGTACACTCCGCTGGGCCCCGTCTGTCTCCCCGTGTCTCTCTATCGTCTAACTCGGGACAAAGTTGTGCCACGTTCGCCGGGAGGCGTCTACCACCTCGCCCGGTGCGGATGACGTTCGTTGGTTCGATGCCGACCCTGACGCCTGCTGCTGCTGCTGCCGCTGCTTCTGCCGCCGCATATATCGGAGTTTGCGTGTTCACTCTGCTTCCCGTGGTCGCGGGGATTTTTCTGTTTTTGTTCACATTCTGTGCCGGGTATTTGCCTGCTCCACGTTTCCACGCAATGGCGACATCAGCCGCCACTTCGTTGAGCTAACAATCGTGGCCGGGCCCATATCTGGCTGATCACGGGAGCTGTATATGGCAGCGTGCCCTACAGCTGCTTTAGTTTTGACACGTGCGATGACAGTGGGTGACGCCTGCCGGCCTGTGAAGGCGGAATCACGGCTACGGGGCACGGCTAGGTAACGCCGACCAATCAGAGAAGGAGGTGGGGGGTCAGCCGAGAAACTACGGGGACCCGCTCGAAACTTTCAGAGGGAGGGCGTGGCTGGAGGCGGGGCCTAGCCACGCCTGGGGGGGTATATAAGTGGGAGCACGTGGAAGGGCAGAGGGGGACAGGCGTTCGCCTGGGGTTTCTGTGTGTGGGGGTGTCTGTGGGTGGGGGTCTCTGTGGGGGTCTCTGTGGGTGGGGGTCTGTGTAGGTGGGGGTATCTGTGGGTGGGGGTCTCTGTGGGTGGGGGTCTCTGTGGGTGGGGGTGACTGTGGGTGGGGGTCTCTGTGGGTGGGGGTCTCTGTGGGTGGAGGTCTCTGTGTTTGTGGGTTTCTGTGTGAGTGGGGGTCTCTGTGTGTATGTGGGTCTCTGTGTTTGTGGGGGTCTCTGTGTTTGTGGGTCTCTGTGTGAGTGGGGGTCTCTGTGTTTGTGGGTCTCTGTGCTTGTGGGTCTCTGTGTGAGTGGGGGTCTCTGTGTGTTTGTGGGTCTCTGTGTTTGTGGGTCTCTGTGTTTGTGGGTCTCTGTGTGAGTGGGGGTCTCTGTGTTTGTGGGTCTCTGTGTGAGTGGGGGTCTCTGTGTTTGTGGGTCTCTGTGTGAGTGGATCTCTGTGTGAGTGGATCTCTGTGTGTTTGTGGGTCTCTGTGTTTGTGGGTCTCTGTGCGGGTGGGGGTCTCTGTGTTTGTGGGTCTCTGTGTGAGTGGGGGTCTCTGTGTTTGTGGGTCTCTGTGCGGGTGGGGGTCTCTGTGTTTGTGGGTCTCTGTGTGAGTGTGGGTCTCTGTGTTTGTGGGTCTCTGTGTTTGTGGGTCTCTGTGTTTGTGGGTCTCTGTGTTTGTGGGTCTCTGTGTGAGTGGGGGTCTCTGTGTTTGTGGGTCTCTGTGTGAGTGGGGGTCTCTGTGTTTGTGGGTCTCTGTGTGTTTGTGGGTCTCTGTGTTTGTGGGTCTCTGTGGTTGGGGGATCTCAATGGCGTCTCTGGGGACAGAGCGACGTCGAGGGCCGCCATGTTTTGTCACGTGGTGACGGTGAGGGTGACGTCTCTCTCTCCCTCTCTGTCTCCGCGGGGCCGCCCGCTACAACACGGACAGGTCGTGGCAGGACCGGGACTTGGCCTTGAAGGCCCCGCTGGGCCTCGCCGCCGCCGCCGCCGTGGCTGTGACGAGGCGTCCCAGCACGCGACGCGCTCGCTCCGACATCGACTCTCGACGGCATCGCGACGAGGACGACGACGACGAGGAGGAGCTGGCGGTGACGACGGTGGAGGCCGATCGCGAGCGGTGGCGAGCGACACCCGACAGGCGAGGAGCCGCGGCGGAGGCGGAGGAGGAGTGTCCGCTCCTCAAGCGAACCTGCGGGGAGCGGCGGGAGGGAGGGTTGTAGATTTTGAAGCTTTCGTGACTGCAAGGGTCCGTACTCTTTGGTTCTATTCGGTAAAGTCGCGTGGGTGTTTTATTTTTTTTTACCTACGTGACTTTACCGAATAGAAGAGGGAGGGAGAATGTTTCGTTTTTTGTTACCGGGGAAAGGTTCCACCCCAACCGCCCCCCCCCCCACCCACCCGAAACCGCTGGGAGCTGCCGACTGGCTCCGCTTGATTTATTTTTTTAGGGTTCTATCGCAAAAGCGAACCTGGCTGTGCTACCGCCAATGATGGCACCCCCAACGGAGCGGCTGATATCGCCATCGCGTGGAAATTCATCAGAGCTAGCCATGATGCTGTTTGGTTCTTTCGGAAGAAGTCGCGTGCAAAGAAAATGAATTAGATAGTAGAATTACAATGTTTCGATTGTAACACTAGCAAGCGTCATCAGGTAGAATTTGTAGAACAGCAGGAGATCACACAAACTCCACTCACTCACTCTGTAGAACAGGGGGAGATCACACAAACTCCACTCACTCACTCTGTAGAACAGGGGGAGATCACACAAACTTCACTCACTCACTCTGTAGAACAGGGGGAGATCACACAAACTTCACTCACTCACTCTGTAGAACAGGGGGAGATCACACAAACTCCACTCACTCACTCTGTAGAACAGGGGGAGATCACACAAACTCCACTCTGTAGAACAGGGGGAGATCACACAAACACCACTCGCTTACTCTGTAGAACAGAGGGAGATCACACAAACTCCACTCACTCACTCTGTAGAACAGGGGGAGATCACACAAACTCCACTCACTCACTCTGTAGAACAGGGGGAGATCACACAAACTCCACTCACTCTGTAGAACAGGGGGAGATCACACAAACACCACTCGCTTACTCTGTAGAACAGAGGGAGATCACACAAACTCCACTCACTCACTCTGTAGAACAGGGGGAGATCACACAAACTCCACTCACTCACTCTGTAGAACAGGGGGAGATCACACAAACTCCACTCACTCTGTAGAACAGGGGGAGATCACACAAACACCACTCGCTTACTCTGTAGAACAGAGGGAGATCACACAAACTCCACTCACTCACTCTGTAGAACAGGGGGAGATCACACAAACTCCACTCACTCACTCTGTAGAACAGGGGGAGATCACACAAACTCCACTCACTCACTCTGTAGAACAGGGGAAGATCACACAAACTCCACTCACTCACTCTGTAGAACAGGGGGAGTGATCACACAAACTCCACTCACTCTGTAGAACAGGGGGAGTGATCACACACCGTACCTGGCGCACAGCTCCCTGGAATAACTCCGAGACATTGACGGACAGAGCGGCCGATGTCTCAATGAACTTGCAGTCAAACACCGCAGCGCACGCGCGCCCCTCTGCACACTCACGCAGACACACGGAGACAAAGATGCCCTCCGTATGGGGCCTTAAAAGACTGTTGGGGCAAGTGCTGTTAGCGAGGAGCACCATATGAAGGCCGGCACGGTGGCACACGAGGGGGTGGGAAGTGCAGCACCACGGAAAAGTACATTTCCTAAACATCGCACCGGGTACTCATTTGCGGGCTGAGTCGACCTATGGGAGGCCCAGGACCGGTTCAGATCATCACCGGTGTTGGCCCTGCGGGTGGGAATCGAACCCGTGTCGCCGGGTTTATAGCGCAGCGCGCTAACCGCTGCACTATCGCTCCCCACGCACACACAGACACAGTGACACACACATAGACACACACACACACATAGACACAAACATAGACACACACACACACATAGACACACACACACATAGACACACACACAGTGACACACACATAGACACACACAGACACAGTCATACACATATAGACACACACATAGACACACACACACATAGACACACACACACAGTGACACACACAGAGACGCACACACACATAGACGCACACACACACATAGACACACACACACACAGTGACACACACACACATAGACACACACACAGTGACACACACACACACATAGACACACACACAGTGACACACACACACGGGCGGGAATCGAACTTGGTTCTCTGGGTTCGTAGTGCGGCGCTGCGAACCGCTCCGCCACCGTTCCCACGCACGCAAGCACGAGGCAGCTGCCACCACGGGAACTCATCGCAGCTCCTCTTAAACAAACATAGGCACCGCGTTCGCGAGCACAACGGCAGAACCAATTCCTCCGCCGCGGCTGACCATTGCTATAACGCTGTGGGCTCTGTCGTGATGATGTTGTTGTTGTTGTTATTTTCCGTGCAGCAAGGTGCTCTGCAAACCCTCCGGCCGCTATCAAAGGTTTGTTTCACGAAGCCATGCCAGATATATAAGCACAGACGTTTACTCCAACCGAGAAGATGGATACAAATTGAGCAATCATTGGAAGGACGTTATTAAAAAAAACCTTAACTGCTTCATAATTTCACCATTGGAACCTCCTTCGCCAGTAGCAAAATATGATAGTTGTGTTTTTTTATTCACCCTTTTATCCGGCAACAAAACTGACACCTTTTTTGACAAGGAGTCTTGTTTGCATTGACCACAATACCTGCAAACAAAAAAACACACAACTCTGATCATGCATTGGCACTGTCCTTGAAATTGATTGGTCCACACCCGAGACAGCTCTCCATAGAGCCCTAGTCTCACGTGGTGTTGGACCAGAAGACGCCAAAAGGTTTCATAATTTGCCTTGATGTCCGCTTCTCCAGTTTCTTCAGCCTCCTACCCCCAGCAACCCGCTCACTTCCCAGCTCCGGCATTCTCGTCTTGCGGTACCCCATTCCCCTACCCCCCCTCTCTATCTCTCCTCCCTGGCTCCGACCTCCCTCTATAGCCTCTTGATACCAGCAGACCCCCTTTTGCCCACTTCAGCAATCTGTTTCTTGCTGTGGTTGTCCCACCTGATGGCGGACGCTTGTGTTGAGCCCGAAAACGTCACGTGACTTAAATTTATTTCAGACCTATTGTGACTTTACCGAAAGAATCAAAGAGTATGGATCCCCATCATTAGTACTACGTGTGTGGTATGTATGTCGAACCTATAGAATGTCCCCCCCCCCCCCCCCCGTTCTACAGATTGAGAGTGAGGTTTCTTCTTGACTTGAAGCTTTCGTGACTGCAATGATCAATACTCTTTGATTCTTTCGGTGAAGTCACGTACGTAGGTGAAAAATAAAAAAAAATAAAGTGAATCAAATCACGACGCCTCCGTCATCAGGTGGGACAGTCACAGCAAATGACTTCTTGCTGTGGCTATCCCACCTGATCACGTAGATGTGTTCAAAGAAAATAACAAAAGATAACAAATAAGCTACGACATTCACGATCGCAAACGTCATAGAATGTTCTTGTAAAAAAATTTTGGTTATTTTTCTTTGAACCTATCTTACGTGACCTTACCGAAACAACCCAAAGAATAAGTGAGGCTCCTGTTTGGCAAGAAAGATCCCGTCGTGTAGCTGCTCATCCCGAGCCATACATGGCCTGATAGTGGCATTGTCTTTGAGCTGTGTAACGCCTTTTGGCGTCCTCTGGCCTAGCACCGATTGAGACGAGTCTCAAAAGAAAGCCGTCTCTGGTGTGGATCAATCAGTTTCAAGGACAATGCATCATCATACTATCAGAGTGTGTGTTTTTCGTTTGCATTTTGACCGCAGGTATTGTGGTTAATGCAGCAACATGAATCCTTGCTGAAAAGGTTCCAGTTTTGTTGCCAGAAAAAACGGGAAAAACCCCCCAATGATTATATTTTGGTACTGGCAAAGGAGGTCTAATGATGATGTAGATGCTTAACCCCGAGCCCTCATCACTTTGATAGTGGCATTGTCTTTGTGCTGTTCGCCTTTTGGCGTCCTCTGGCCTAGCACCGATTGAGATGAGGCTCAAAAGAAAGCCGTCCCTTGGTGTGGACCAATCAGTTTCAAAGTAAAATGCTTCATAAAATACCAGAGCGTGTTTTTGTATGCATGTTCGCCGCAAGTATGCGTGGCACATGAAGACACGATTCCATGGAAAAGGCTTCTGATTGGTGTTTCATTGCGAGAAAGGGTAAAACTAATTATTGTATGGACTTTATATGTTCTCCCACTGTTCTACAGAGTGATAATGAGCAATTGGCGTTTGTATGATCTGCCTCTGTTCGTTTTTTTCTTCAAATAAAATTCATTTATTTCATATTCGTTCCACGTCTGTCATCTCGAGTAAGAACATTCGATCGTGCGCACTCTGATGAGCCCAGTTCAATCAAACGAGAGCCGCAACATATTCTTGGTTCTTTCGGCAAAGTCACGTAGAAGGGAAATAATAAAAGTATAAAACAATTAAATACTCACGAGGTTTCGACTGCAACACAAGCAATCATCATCAGGTGTGAACAACCACAGCAAGAAAATTTGAAAGAAAAAAATATTGCTGTGGTTTTCACACCTGATAATGACTGCTTCATGTGTTGCAGTCGAAACGTCGTGAGAATTCTATTGTTTTATATTTTTTATTATTTTATTGTTTCCCTTCTACGTGGTGGTGACTTTACCAAAAGAACCAAGAATATGAATCCCTGCAGTCACGAAAGCTTTAAACCAAAATTGATGGACTCGTCCATCTGAATAACTGCCAAATCGCTCTCCGTGGTGCTGATGGTAAAAAAACGCCACTTTTTTCAAATTTTCTTGCTGTGTTTTTCACATCTGACGATGATGATTGCTTCTTGTGTTGCAGTCGAAACGTCGTGGGAATTTTATTGTTTTATATTTTTTATTATTTTATTGTTTCCCCTTCTACGTGGTGGTGACTTTACCGAAAGAACCAAGAATATGAATCCCTGCAGTCACGAAAGCTTTAAATCAAGAGAGCAGTAACGTTAAGATTGCAAAGAGACAAACGCCGCTGTTGCTTGTGGCTGCATTTTGCGAAGTTTGGAGCTCCACGCCCTCCCCCCCCACAGCGTTAAATGTTCGACACCGTGACGCGTGACGATGATGCGATGAGGACAAGGGGAGCACGCGGTAATGACAACGGCGAGTAGGGGCGGTCCTGCGAGAGACACCACCCTGAACGATTGCTGCACCAGCCCCTGAGCGGATAATGTCGTCACTACGCCACTGAGGTGTCCATGTGGTGTTCACTTCTCTCGTGTTATCGCCGGAAAACTAAACTAAAACTAAACTAAAACTAAACTAAACTAAAACTAAAATAAAACTAAACTTTAGTTTTAGTTTAGTAAGTTTTAGTTTAGTTTTAGTTTATTTTAGTTTAGTTTTAGTTTAGTTTTAGTTTGTTTTAGTTTAGTTTTAGTTTAGTTTTAGTTTAGTTTTAGTTCAGTTTAGTTTAGTTTTAGTTTAGTTTTAGTTTAGTTTTAGTTTAGTTTTATTTCAGTTTAGTTTAGTTTGAGTTAATTTTAGTTTAGTTTTAGTTTATTTTTAGATTAGTTTTAGTTCAGTATTCGTTTAGTTTTAGTTTAGTTTTAGTTCAGTTCAGTTTAATTTAGTTTTAGTTTAGTTTAGTTTTTAGTTTAGTTTAGTTTTAGTTCAGATTAAGTTTTAGTTTAGTTTTAGTTTAGTTTCAGTTTAAGTTTAGTTTCAGTTTTAGTTTAGTTTTAGTTTAGTTTTAGTTTCAGTTTAGTTTTAGTTTAGTTTTAGTTTATTTTTAGTTTAATTTAGTTTTTAGTTTAGTTTTAGTTCAGTTTTAGTATTAGTTTTAGTTTAGTTTTAGTTTAGTTTTAGTTTAGTTTTAGTTTAGCTTAAGTTTAGTTTTAGTTCAGTTTAGTTTAGTTTAGTTTTAGTTTAAGTTTGGTTTTAGTTTAGTTTTAGTTTATTTTTAGTTTAGTTTTAATTTAGTTTTTAGTTTAGTTTTAATTTAGTTTAAGTTTAGTTTAGTTTTAGTTTAGTTTTAGTTTATTTTAGTTTTAGTTTAGTTTTTGTTCAGTTTAGTTTTAGTTTAGTTTAGTTTTAGTTTAGTTTAGTTTTAGTTTAGTTTTTAGTTTAGTTTTAGTTTAGTTTTAGTTTAGTTTAAGTTTAGTTTTAGTTTAGTTTTAGTTTATTTTTAGTTTAGTTTAAGTTTTAGTTTAGTTTAGTTTTAGTTTAGTTTCAGTTTAAGTTTAGTTTCAGTTTAAGTTTAGTTTTAGTTATAGTTTTAGTTTAGTTTTAGTTATAGTTTAGTTTTAGTTTAGTTTAGTTTTAGTTTAGTTTAGTTTTAGTTTAGTTTTAGTTTATTTTTAGTTTAGTTTTAGTTTAGTTTTAGTTCAGTATTAGTTTAGTTTAGTTTTAGTTCAGTTCAGTTTAGTTTAGTTTAGTTTTTAGTTTAGTTTAGTTTTAGTTTAGTTTAGTTTTAGTTTAGTTTAAGTTTAGTTTTAGTTTAGTTTTAGTTTAGTTTCAGTTTAAGTTTAGTTTCAGTTTTAGTTTAGTTTTAGTTTAGTTTTAGTTTCAGTTTAGTTTTAGTTTAGTTTTAGTTTATTTTTAGTTTAATTTAGTTTCAATTTAGTTTTTAGTTAAGTTTAGTTTTAGTTTAGTTTTAGTATTAGTTTAAGTTTAGTTTTAGTTTAGTTTTAGTTTAGTTTTAGTTTAGTTTAAGTTTAGTTTTAGTTCAGTTTAGTTTTAGTTTAGTTTTAGTTTAGTTTCAGTTTAAGTTTAGTTTTAGTTTAGTTTTGGTTTAGTTTTAGTTTCAGTTTAGTTTTAGTTTAGTTTTAGTTTATTTTTAGTTTAGTTTTAATTTAGTTTTTAGTTTAGTTTTAGTTTAAGTTTAGTTTTAGTTTAGTTTTAGTTTAGTTTTAGTTTATTTTAGTTTTAGTTTAGTTTTAGTTTAGTTTAGTTTTAGTTCAGTTTAGTTTTAGTTTAGTTTTAGTTTAGTTTAGTTTTAGTTAGTTTTTAGTTTAGTTTAGTTTAGTTTTAGTTTAGTTTAAGTTTAGTTTTAGTTAAGTTTTAGTTTAGTTTTAGTTTAGTTTTAGTTTATTTTTAGTTTAGTTTAAGTTTTAGTTTAGTTTAGTTTTAGTTTAGTTTAAGTTTAGTTTCAGTTTGAGTTTAGTTTCAGTTTAAGTTTAGTTTTAGTTATAGTTTAGTTTTAGTCAAGTTTTAGTTTTTTCTAGTCCATAACGAGACGGAGCGATACCTCATCGAGCAGATGTTGACTGGGGGATTGGACTCGGAGCCTTGGCTGTAGAGTGAGATGAGAGGGGAGTGGAGTGAGATGAGAGGGGAGTGGAGTGAGATGAGAGGGGAGTGGAGTGAGATGAGAGGGGAGTGGAGTGAGATGAGAGTGGAGTGAGTGGAGTGGGGTGAATTTAGAGTGGAGAGGTAGGAGAGTGCGTGGATGAGAGTGAAGTGAGATGAGAGTGGAGTGAAGTGAGATGAGAGGAGAGTGGAGTGAGTGGAGTGGAGAGGCAGGAGAGTGCGTGGAGGTGAGTGGAGTGAGATGAGAGGAGTGAGATGAGAGTGGAGTGGAGTGAGATGAGAGAGGAGTAAGATGAGATGAGAGTGAGATGAGAGGAGATGAGAGTGGAGGGAGATGAGAGAGGAGTGAGATGAGAATGGAGTGAGATGAGAGTGGAGTGTAGTGAGATGAGAGAGGAGTGAGATGAGAGTGTAGTGAGATGAGAGTGTAGCGGAGTGTAGTGAGATGAGAGCGGAGTCTCCCCACCTTCCTCGGACACGTCCCGTGAGCGCACCAAGTCGCTCTTGTTCCCCACCAGGATGACGGGCGGCTCGCGGGGCCCCGCCGCCCCCTTGGGCCCCGCCGCCCCGCCGGGCCCCAGGCTCGGGCCTCCTCCTCCTCCTCCGCCTCGCCGGAGCGCGAGGCGCAGCTGGGAGGCCCTCTCGAAGGAGGCGCGCTCCGTGACGGAGTAGACGAGGAGGAAGGCGTCCATGCCCCGACTCGCCCGCTTCACGCAGTCGCCCTGCAGCAGGGGGGCAAAGGTCAAAGGCCCCGGGCGGCCTTCAGCAAGACTGGCGGGCGGCAGGCACCGTTAGCGAGCTGGCAGTGGAGCGGCAAACGGAGGGCGACACGCCGCCTTTGTCTCCCCCCCCCCCCCCCCCCCCCCGGTGGAGATGTTTACACGGCGCACGCCGGGTGCTCATTTGAGGCTGAGTCGACCGAGGGGAGGCCCGGCACCGGTTCAGATGATCGTCACCGGTGTTGGCCGTGAGGGGGAATCGAACTCGGGTGGCCAAGTTCATAGCGCAGCACGTAAACCACTACACTACCGTTCCCCATATACACAGACACACGCACAAACACACACAGACACACGCACAGACACACACACAGACACATGCACAGACGCACACACACACGCACAGACACACACAGACACACACAGACACACACACACACAGACACACAGACACACACACACAGACACAACAACAACAACAACAACCGCCATTCGCCACTAAGTGGCGGTGACATCACCACGACGCTTGTGCCAGGCTATGTGCACCCTGAGGCCACGTGAAGTGTCGAACGCCCGCTGGCAGGAGGTCACGGGGCAGACCCAGGTGCCACGGGTCGACTGACTGAGATGACTGGCTGATGCACCACCTGTGCCCCCTACTGTGCCAACCAGCTGTGCTTTAGCCACCCGGCGCTCCGCTCGTTGTTCTGAGCGTCGCTCCTCCGCCCTCCGTTGTTGTTGGAGGGCGACTGCCTCCAACTGCCCAGTAGCGTCCTTCACGAGCCTCCTCCACAGAGGCCGATCTTGACACCGCTGGTACCAGTCATCGGCAAGTCCACTCAGCTCCACGTCCTCCTGTACCACATCACTCCATCTCTTCTCTAGCCCGTGCCGCGCCCGCTTAGCCCCCTCAATCCGGCCAAACAAAAGCTGTTTCGGCATGCGGTGGCTGGGCATGCGGGCTACATGACCCAGCCATCGCAGCCTTGCCTGCCGGAGCAGCTCACCGATGGGACCCTGCCCAGATCTTTCAAGGATTTGTGAGCTCCTCACACAATCCAGTCTGGTTAAACCCATAATGGATCGTAGGCAGGCCAGCCTAAATGTTTCCAACCGGCGAAGATGTTCCATTAGGGGGGTCCACGTTTCGCAAGCGTAGAGAAGGGAGGGAATGACCGTGGCTGAGAAGACCTGAAGCTTAGTGCGGAGCGACAGACCAGGTAGCTTCCACACAGCGTTACGCAACCGATGAAAAGATATTGCCGCTCGACTGATTCGGAGTGAGACCTCTGCTGTTAAACTGGAGCCAGTCATAAGCACACTGCCCAGGTATGGGAAACTCTCCACTCTCTCCACAACTGCCCCATCACCGATTGGGAGTTACACAAACACACACACAGACACACACACAGACACACACACAGACACACACATACAGACACACACACATGCAGACACACACATACAGACACACATACAGACACATACAGACAGACACACAGACACACTGTGCACCAGTGGTTCTGAACCTTGGGTGTGCACGCACTCCCCCTAGGGGTGGGTGCGAGACAATGGCCAGTCTGGTGTCCAGCAGGTAAATCACCAGAACACAAATCAAGCATGGGGTGGTAAGTAGCAACTTACATTTTCACTTCAAACTTTCGCGACTGCAGGAATTCCTATTCTCGATGCTTTCGGTAAAGTCACGTAGGTAGGGAAATAAAAATAAAAATCATAAAATTAAAAATTCTAAAATTTAAAATAAAATTATAAAATTAAGGCAAAAGAAAAACTCACGACGTTTCGATCGCAACACAAGCGGCCTTCGTCAGGCGGAGAGCGCTTGAGTGGCCGTGGAAACTTCGTGGATTTATATTTATTTATTTAAAAAAATTTACGTAAACGTGTACTTAATTATTCTTCGTTTCCATCGACGTCACTTTGGCGAAAGAACCAAGACTCAGTAGCAACTCACTTCGTCTTCATCGAGTTCGACGCATTTGTTGACATTGCAACATTTGTGTGAATGAACGAGACCCAGGGGATCGTGTTTGCAATCACCACGACACAAGCAGTCAAAAGTGCAAACAAAAAGAGGCAACTCTGATAATGATATTGGCACTGTCCTTGAATTCGAGGACAGTTGTTTGCATTTTTGACCGCTTGTGTCGTGGTTATCGCAGACATGATGCCTTGAATAAAGGTGTCAGTTTTGTGTGCCAGTTAAAAGGGTAAAAACCTATTACCTATCTTGTTACTGGCAAAGGAGGTCTCATAATGTAAATGCTCACCCCGAGCCCTCAATACCCTGATGGTGCGCTGTTTTTGAGTCGTACGCCTTTTGGCGTCTTTTGGTCCAACACCAGTGGAGACAAAGGGCTCTAAGAAAAGCCGTCTCAGGTGTGGACCAATCAAATTCAAGGACAGTGCCATCATCATTATCAGAGTTGTCTTTTTGTTTGCATTTTTGACTGCTTGTGTTGTGGTTATCGCAAACATAATGCCTTGTATAAAGGTGTCAGTTTTTTTTGTGCCAGCTAAAAGGGTAAAAACCTATTACGAGACCCAGGGGGCTGGAAGGCTGCGGTAAAGTTTCAGAACCACCGCACTAAACTACGAAACGATGCAATGTTTACATCATTAGACCTCCCTTTGCCAGTACCAAAATATCATAATTGGGGGGGTTTTCCCGTTTTTTTTCTGGCAACAAAAATTGAAACTTTTATTTACGAGGATTCATGTCGCTGCATTAACCACAATACTTGCGGTCAAAATGCAAACAAAAAAACAACACACTCTGATAGTATGACGATGATGATGATGCATTGTCCTTGAAAGTGATTGGTCCACACCAAGGGACGGCTTTCTTTTGAGCCTCGACCCAATTGATGCTAGGCCAGAGGACGCCACAAGGCGTTACGCAGCTCCAAGGGCAATGCATCATAAATATATTATCAGAGTGCGTTTGTTTTTTTTGTTGTTTGCATTTTGTGGTGAATACAGCAACATGATTCCTCGTAGGGAAAAAAAGTTTAAGTTTTGTTGGCAGAAAAAAAGTGGGGGGGAGCCCCTCCCCCCTATTATGAATGTTTTATTTATTTATTATAACCAAATTAAGGCCTCACTCTGCTCTTTAGCTCTCTTTCAGAAGCGTTCCTGGCTGTCCCCAAATGATAGCAGATCAACGGAGGGGGCTTCGTCGTCGTCATCGTCATCATCACCGTCACGTGGACATTTACGTCATCACCGTCACGTGGACATTCACGTCGTCACCGTCACGTGGACATTTACGTCATCACCGTCACGTGGACATTCACGTCGTCACCGTCACGTGGACATTCATGTCGTCACCGTCACGTGGACATTTACGTCGTCACCGTCACGTGGACATTTACGTCATCACCGTCACGTGGACATTCACGTCATCACCGTCACGTGGACATTCACGTCATCACCGTCACGTGGACATTTACGTCGTCACCGTCACGTGGACATTTACGTCGTCACCGTCACGTGGACATTTACGTCATCACCGTCACGTGAATATTTACGTCGTCACCGTCACGTGGACATTTACGTCGTCACCATCACGTGGACATTTACGTCGTCACCATCACGTGGACATTCACGTCGTCACCGTCATGTGGACATTCACGTCGTCATCACTGTCACGTGGACATTTACGTCGTCATCACCGTCACGTGGACATTTACGTCGTCACCGTCACGTGGACATTCACGTCGTCACCGTCATGTGGACATTCACGTCGTCACCATCACGTGGACATTTACGTCGTCATCACCGTCACGTGGACATTTACGTCGTCACCGTCACGTGGACATTTACGTCGTCACCGTCACGTGGACATTTACGTCATCACCGTCACGTGGATATTTACGTCGTCACCGTCACGTGGACATTTACGTCATCACCGTCACGTGGATATTTACGTCGTCACCGTCACGTGGACATTTATGTCATCACCGTCACGTGGACATTTACATCGTCATCACCGTCACGTGGACATTTACATCGTCGTCACCGTCACGTGGACATTTACGTCGTCACCGTCACGTGGACATTTACGTCGTCACCATCACGTGGACATTCACGTCGTCACCATCATGTGGACATTCACGTCGTCATCACTGTCACGTGGACATTTACGTCGTCATCACCGTCACGTGGACATTTACGTCGTCACCGTCACGTGGACATTCACGTCGTCACCGTCATGTGGACATTCACGTCGTCACCATCACGTGGACATTTACGTCGTCATCACCGTCACGTGGACATTTACGTCGTCATCACCGTCACGTGGACATTTACGTCGTCACCGTCACGTGGACATTTACGTCGTCACCGTCACGTGGACATTTACGTCATCACCGTCACGTGGATATTTACGTCGTCACCGTCACGTGGACATTTACGTCATCACCGTCACGTGGATATTTACGTCGTCACCGTCACGTGGACATTTACATCATCACCGTCACGTGGACATTTACATCGTCATCACCGTCACATGGACATTTACATCGTCGTCACCGTCACGTGGACATTTACGTCGTCACCGTCACGTGGACATTTACATCATCACCGTCACGTGGACATTCACGTCATCACCATCACGTGGACATTCACGTCATCACCGTCACGTGGACATTTACGTCATCACCGTCATGTGGACATTTACGTCGTCACCGTCACGTGGACATTTACGTCGTCACCGTCACATGGACATTTACGTCATCACCGTCATGTGGACATTCATGTCATCACCGTCACGTGGACATTCACGTCATCACCGTCATGTGGACATTCACGTCATCACCGTCATGTGGACATTTACGTCGTCACCATCACGTGGACATTTACGTCATCACCGTCACGTGGACATTTACGTCGTCATCACCGTCACGTGGACATTTACGTCGTCACCATCACGTGGACATTGACGTCATCATCACCGTCACGTGGACATTTACGTCGTCACCGTCACGTGGACATTTACGTCGTCACCGTCACGTGGACATTTACGTCATCACCATTACGTGGACATTCACGTGTCATCACCATCACGTGGACATTTACATCGATTCTGAATGCTGCGTCGGGGAAAAAAAAGCTGGAGGAGCCAGAGAAACATCCACGCAGTGACCACGGGGAGAGAGAGAGGGACACGCAAAATCCAACTATACAGCAGCAGCAGCAGGCGTCAGGGTCGGGATTAAATCAGGCGTGGTAGTTTACATCCCCAAACCACCGTGATGATGATGAGAGAGAGACACGCAGACTCCAAATATACAGGAGGCATCAGGGTCGGGATTGAACCCACGACCTCCTGTATATCAGGCGATGATAGTTGTAGCGGTGGTGTTGATGATAGTTGTGGTGGTGGTGGTGGTGTTGATAGTTGTAGTGGTGGTGGTGGTGTTGATAGTTGTGGTGGTGGTAGTGGTGTTGATAGTTGTGGTGGTGGTGTTGATAGTTGTGGTGGTGGTGTTGATAGTTGTAGTGGTGGTGTTGATGATAGTTGTGGTGGTCGTGGTGTCGATAGTTGTCGTGGTGGTGGTATTGATAGTTGTAGTGGTGGTATTGATAGTTGTGGTGGTGGTGTTGATAGTTGTGGTGGTGGTGTTGATAGTTGTGGTGGTGGTGGTGTTGATAGTTGTAGTGGTGGTGTTGATGATAGTTGTGGTGGTCGTGGTGTCGATAGTTGCCGTGGTGGTGGTATTGATAGTTGTAGTGGTGGTGGTGGTATTGATAGTTGTGGTGGTGGTGTTGATAGTTGTGGTGGTGTTGATAGTGGTGGTGGTGGTGGTGTTGATAGTTGTAGTGGTGGTGTTGATAGTTGTGGTGGTGGTGCTGGTGTTGATAGTTGTAATGGTGGTGGTGTTGGTGATAGTTGTGGTGGTGCTGGTGTTGATAGTTGTGGTGGTGGTGTTGATAGTTGACATGCAAACTCCAAATATACAGCAGGCATCAGGGTCGGGATTGAACCCACGTCCTCCTGTATACCAGGCGAGTGGTGAGTGGTGAGAGGTGAGTGGTGAGTGGTGAGTGTAGAGTGATGAGTGTAGAATGGTGAGTGGTGATTGTAGCGTGGTGAGTGGTGATTGGTGAGTGTAGAGTGGTGAGTGGTGAGTGTAGAGTGGTGAGTGTAGAGTGGTGAGTGTAGAGTGGTGAGTGATGAGTGGTGAGTGTAGAGTGGTGAGTGTAGAGTGGTGAGTGTAGAGTGGTGAGTGATGAGTGGTGAGTGTATAGTGGTGAGTGTAGAGTGGTGAGTGTAGAGTGGTGAGTGGTGAGTGTACCTCTGCCCAGGTGTCTTCAACCACCACCATCACCTCCACGCCATCGACTTTCAGCGTGCGCCACCTTGTGCACGCGCCTGGGAGGGCAGGGACGAGGGGCATTGTGGGTAGTGGAGGTGGTTGTGGTGGTGGGGTTGATGGTAGTTGTGGTGGTGGTGGTGGGGTTGATGGTAGTGGTGGTGGGGTTGTTGGTAGTTGTGGTGGTGGTAGTGGTGGGGTTGATGGTAGTTGTGGTGGTGGTAGTGGTGGGGTTGATGGTAGTTGTGGTGGTGGTGGTGGAGTTGATGGTTAGTTGTGGTGGTGGTGGTGGTGGTGGAGTTGATGGTAGTTGTAGTGGTGGTGGTGGAGTTGATGGTAGTTGTGGTGGTGGTGGAGTTGATGGTAGTTGTGGTGGTGGAGTTTATGGTAGTTGTGGTGGTGGTGGAGTTGATGGTAGTTGTGGTGGTGGTGGAGTTGATGGTAGTTGTGGTGGTGGAGTTTATGGTAGTTGTGGTGGTGGTGGTGGAGTTGATGGTAGTTGTGGTGGTGGTGGAGTTGATGGTAGTTGTGGTGGTGGAGTTGATGGTAGTTGTGGTGGTGGAGTTTATGGTAGTCATGGTGGTGGTGGAGTTGATGGTAGTTGTGGTGGTGGTGGAGTTGATGGTTAGTTGTAGTGGTGGTGGTAGTTGTGGTGGTAGTGGAGTTGATGAGAATTGTAGTGGTGGTCCACAATAACATCAATCTCTATTTCCCCCCCTCCCCCCAAAAAAACAAAAGGATCAAACCTATTGTAAATTTGTCATCATTTTGGATCCTGGCAAAAAAAAAGGTCCCACAGATGTAACTCCTCGACCTGGGTCAGTGCTCTGCTACTTCCTTTGGCTTTGTGCTGTTCGCCTTTTGGTGTTCCCCGGTGTAACAAACGTCGTGAGACAAAGCCCCCCCCCCCCCATAGAAGTCTCTATCTCTGGTGCGGGCCAATTAGTTCCGAAGACACCGTGTACATTTCTAGATTTGAAGCTTTCGTGACTGCAAGGAGCCATACTCTTTGGTTCTATTGGGTAAAGTCACGTAATAGAACCAAAGAGTACCGCGCACATTGTCAGCGGACGTTGGCTTGTGTGGTTTTTGCCACGAGCGTGCGTGCTTGACGCAGACTTGGTGCCCTGCGAAAGGAATCCATTTGGTGTTTTGCAAAGCTTAGCCGCTGCTTCGTCGCCAGAAATTGGTAAAAAAAAAAAAACGATCCTTATTTTTCATCAAGTTTTTTTTGTTTTCCGCACGGGGCAAAAAGGTTCAATTTCGATGTAACCTCTATTAAACCTCTGTGCATCTCCACGTATGTATGTGTGTATGTGAAAGGAAAATTTGCGAATGTGTGTGTCTGTTCGAAACGTTTAGCATACTTCCCGACATGCAACAAACTTGAAATTTGCCATGCGGGTAGCTTCCAGACTGTACACAATGCAAAAAGTATAAAAATAGACTTTTGTATTTGGGGGGGGGGGCGCAATAATGGATATATTTTGCACGGCAAGTGAGCGGTGACGTCACATCTGTGATGTCACCCGCATGCGGCAGCGTCACGTGCCTGCTGACGTCACGCAGTGTGCCTGCTGACGTCACGCATCCCCTCCCCCCCACCCACTCTTTGCATAGTGTTTGCATTTTGACCGCAAGCATTGTGGTGAATGTAGCGGCACGATTATTTGTAAAGAGGTTTCAGTTTTGTTGCCAGAAAAAAGTGAAAAAAACCCTTTATTATTATATTTTGGTACTGGCAAAGGAGGTCTCATTATAATAGAAAAAATGTTTTTATCAGGAAGTGGAACATTTAGGAGACACCGCAAGATATTTTTGGGAAGATGTTTGATGTTTTCTTGTTTAAAAGAACAAAAAAACGTGAAATTGTTCAACAAAAACGCCTGCAAAATGTTATTCGATATGAGCAGCTGTTCTCAGCATCTGCTCGCTCTTGCAGAGTCTCGTCATCGTCTCCGAAGGAGAGGGACAGGCGCATGCCGGCCACACTGATGGGATGCTGATGAGGACGCTGATCAGTGCCGGATTATGCCAGTAGCAAAAGCAGCTCGCTTTTTCAACCTTTTACCTGGCAACAAAACAGCTGTTATGTTGCTAAAACACCAAACTGAAACCATTTACAAGGAATCACGTCTACGTTAACCACAATACTTGCGGTCGAAATGCCAACAACAAAAAAATCACACTCTGATAATGTATGATGATGATGATGATGAAACTGATTGGTCCACACCAGAGACGGCTTTCTTTTGAGCCTCGTCTCACAACGGTGTTAGACCAGAGGACGCCACAAGGCGGTACTTAACGCGGCTGTTTTATTACCAGGTCAGAGTGGGAAAACCTATTCTCATGTTTTGGTAATGGCAAAGGAGGTCCATGATGTACAAAAGTAACTACATATGTAGTAGCTGCACGTGTAGTAGTAGCTACTACACGTGTAGTAGTAAACGTGTAGTAGTAGCTACTACTACACGTGTAGTAGTAGCTACACATGTGTAGTAGCTAACGACATGTGTAGTAGTAGCTACTACTACACGTGTAGTAATAGCTACTACTACACGTGTAGTAGTAGCTACTACTACACGTGTAGTAGCTGCACGTGTAGTAGTAGCTACTACACGTGTAGTAGTAAACGTGTAGTAGTAGCTACACATGTGTAGTAGCTAACGACATGTGTAGTAGTAGCTACTACTACACGTGTAGTAATAGCTACTACTACACGTGTAGTAGTAGCTACTACACGTTTAGTAGTAGCTACTACTACACGTGTAGTAGTAGCTACTACTAAACGTGTAGTAGTAAACGTGTAGTAGTAGCTACTACTACACATGTAGTAGCTAGTAGTAGTAGCTACTACTACACGTGTACTACTACACGCACTGCCTTCATCCGGCACTGATGCTGCTGATGATGATGCTGCTGCTGATGATGCTGCTCATGATGCTGCTCATGATGCTGCTCATGATGCTGCTCATGATGCTGCTCATGATGCTGCTGATTATTATGCTGCTGATGATGCTGCTGCTGATGATGATGATGATGAATCTGATGATGATGATTCTGCTGATGATGCTGCTCCTGATGATGATGAATCTGATGATGCTGATGATGATGCTGCTGCTGCTGATGATGATGATGAATCTGATGATGCTGCTGCTGCTGATGATGCTGCTGATGATGATGAATCTGATGATGCTGCTGCTGATGATTAATCTGATGATGCTGCTGCTGCTGATGATCATGAATCTGATGATGCTGATGATGATGCTGCTCATGATGCTGCTGCTGCTGATGATGCTGCTGGTGATGATGATGCTGCTGATGATGATGCTGCTGCTGCTGCTGATGATGAATCTTATGCTGATGCTGCTGATGCTGCTGCTGCTGATGATGCTGCTGATGCTGCTGCTGCTGATGGTGATGATGCTGCTGATGATGATGGTGATGATGCTGCTGATGATGATGAATCTGATGATGATGCTGCTGATGATGATGATGCTGCTGATGATGATGAATCTAATGCTGCTGCTGATGATGATGAATCTGATGCTGCTGCTGATGATGATGCTGCTGATGCTGATGATGATGAATCTGATGCTGCTGCTGATGATGATGCTGCTGATGCTGATGATGATGAATCTGATGCTGCTGCTGCTGATGATGATGAATCTGATGCTGCTGCTGCTGCTGCTGATGGTGATGATGAATCTGATGCTGATGATGCTGCTGCCACCCACCCGCTTCCTCCCGTTGCCTGGCCCCTCCCGTGAACGCCGCCGCGAGGCTCGACTTGCCCACTCCGCGTGCCCCCAGCACGAGCAGCCTGCAGCTGGGCCGGCCCCCCGGGCTACCCACGTCATCGTTGTCGTCATCGTTGTCGTCATCGTTGTCGTCGTCATCGTCGTCATCGTCGTCGTCATCGTTGTCGTCACTGAGAGCGGCGAGTCGGTCTCGCTCAGCCGCTGGGCACGAGACGCGGCGCGCGGAGGCGGCGTGCAGGGAGGCGCGCCTGGGGGAGGGCGTCATCAGCATCATCATCAGCATCATCATCATCGGTAGCATTATCATCATTAGCATCATCATCAGCATCATCAGCAGCATCATCATCATCGGTAGCATTATCATCATCAGCATCATCATCATCATCAGCAGCAGCATCATCATCATCGGTAGAATCATCATCGGGAGCATCATCATCAGCATCATCATCATCGGTAGCATCATCATCATCGATAGCATCATCATCAGCAGCAGCAATATCATCAGCAGCAATATCATCATCATCATCATCGGTAGCATCATCATCAGAAGCATCATCATCAGTAGCATCATCATCAGCATCATCAGCATCATCATCGGTAGCATCATCATCATCGGTATCACCATCATCAGTAGCATCATCATCAGCAATATCATCATCGGTAGCATCATCATCATCGGTAGCATCATCATCAGCAGCAATATCATCATCATCATCATCGGTAGCTTCATCATCATCAGAAGCATCATCATCAGTAGCATCATCATCAGCATCATTATCAGTAGCATCATGATCAACATCAGTTGCATCAGCAGTAGCATCATGATCAACATCAGTTGCATCATCATCAGCAGTACCATCATCATTAGCATCATCATCAACATCAGCAGCATCATCATCAGTAGCATCATCATCAGTAGCATCATCATCATCAGGAGCATCATCATCAACATCAGTAGCATCAGAAGTAGCATCAGCAGTAGCATCATCATCAGGAGCATCGACATCAGTATCATCATCAGAAGTAGCATCAACATCACCAGCAGTTGCAGCATCATGATCAGTAGCATCATAAGCAGTAGCATCAGCAGTAGTAGCATCATCATAAGTGCTAGTAACATCGTATTCCTGGTTATTTCGGTAAAGTCACCACGTAGAAGGGAAACAATAAAATAATAAAAAATAATACAATAAAATTATCACGACGTTTCGACTGCAACACAAGCAATCATCATCAGGTGTGAAAACCACAGCAAGAAAATTTGAAAAAAGTGGCGGGTTTTTTTTACGTTAGTACCACGGAGAGCGATTTGGCAGTCATTCAAATGGAAGAGTCCATCTATGTACGGAAAAGCGGAGGGGGGAGACGAAAATAATGGATGCGGTCTGAAAGCCACCTTAAGCGTGAACAATCAATTAAGACCCGAAATGGTTTTTCAAATCCTTCCAATGATTGCTAAGCCAAAATCCATCTTCTCGGTTGAAATTGTCTCTGTGTTTGTATATGTGGAAAGCCTCATGAACGAATCTCGCATGGTAGCCAGATGGCTTGCAAAGAACCTCTGTCTTGGAGAAGTCAATGCCATGTGAGCCTAATGAATTTTAACAGTGATCTGCCACGGCCGAGTTTGTAGGTGGGGGAGTTGATAGTAGAGACGATGGGACGAAGGGGTGTATCCACTTTATGTATTTTTGGTAAGCCATATAATCTTGGTGGCCTGGCAGCAGAAGGTTTCAACGAGAACTGTTTGGTTTGATCAATTAATGCGGTTGAATCAGAACTGATTTTGTTGGTTTGTATGACGAGGCTGTTGGTGGGATCTCAGATTCATGGACTTTGATGCAGAAGCAGCTTGCAGTCTCAGATCCATGGACTTTGATGCAGGATTAGCTTACAGTCTCAGATCCATGGACTTTGATGTAGGATCAGCTTACAGTCTCAGATCCATGGACTTTGATGCAGGATCAGCTTACAGACTCAGATCCATGGACTTTGATGTAGGATCAGCTTACAGTCTCAGATCCATGGACTTTGATGCAGGATCAGCTTACAGACTCAGATCCATGGACTTTGATGTAGGATCAGCTTACAGTCTCAGATCCATGGACTTTGATGCAGGAGCAGCTTACAGACTCAGATCCATGGACTTTGATGTAGGAGCAGCTTACAGACTCAGATCCATGGACTTTGATGCAGGATCAGCTTACAGACTCAGATCCATGGAACTTTGATGCAGGAGCAGCTTACAGACTCAGATCCATGGAACTTTGATGCAGGAGCAGCTTACAGCCTCATAGCCTCGGCTAAGACTCATCAGGTGAGAAAGCTGATGACGGGGCGCTTGCGTTGCGCCCCGGAACGTCGTGATTTATTTCATTTTCTGCCCCCACGTGGCTTCACCGAAAGAGCCAAAGAGAATTGTGGATACCTGCAGCAACGACAGCTTCAAATCAAATTTGAGTGTTCCCGTCGCTATAAGTCCAGGAATCCACGACTTCAATCTTCTCCATCGTCCTCTCGGACAAAGACAGTTGACGGCATCGCGAGCTTCTGGGATGCACTTCAGGGGCCGTCTGGAACCCTCTTCCTTCCGTCATTATGAAGCCCTCAACCTCCGATGAGCGTCGTTGGCTAGGCACGGTGCGAAAGAAGTTCAAGGCACGCGCGAATGAAGGCATCATTGGTGCCTCCACCTTGTGCACGTTCACTCATCCAGGCGTTACTCTTTCGGCAGCCATCCGACGCTTCTCTCAACAGCACCGTTCATTCAGTTCTTCACAAACACCGCGAGCTACCGACTCCAGCCAACCCACTCCACCCCACGCAACTCCACCCCCCCACCCCCAACAACTCACAACCCCACCCCACCCCACCCACCCCACCCACCCACCTCACTCCACCCACCCCAACCCACCCCACCCACCCCAACCCACCCACCCCACCCACCTCACTCCACCCACCCCACTCCACCCAACCCACCCCACCCACCCCACCCAACCCACTCACCCCAATCCACCCAACCCACTCACCCCACTCCACCCAACCCACCAACCACACTCCACCCCACCCCACCCACCCCACCCACCCAACCCACCCACCTCACTCCACCCACCCCACCTACCCCACCCCACCCACCCCACTCCACCCAACCCACCCACCCCACTCCACCCACCCCACCCACCCCACCCACCCCACCGACCCCACCCACCCCACCCACCCCACTCCACCCAACCCACCCCACCTACCCCACTCCACCCAACCAAATTCACCCCCTCCCCCCACAACCCACCTCACCCCACCCCGTACCTGCAGAGTGGCCCTTGTGCCCGGGCCCCCCCTGTGGCTCCCCGTGGGTCTCTGGGAGCGAGCAGCGGACCCAGCAGGGACCCCACGCTCATCCTCCTGCCCCGGGCTGGTCCATCAGTCACAGATCCTGGTCCATCAGTCCCAGATTCTGGTCTACGAGTCCCAGATTCTGGTCTCAGAGACCCAGATTCTGGTCCACGGGTCCCAGATTCTGGCCCACGGGTCCCAGATTCTGGGCCACGAGTTCCAGATTCTGGTCCAGGGGTTCCAGATTCTGGTCCACGGGTCCCAGATTCTGGGCCACGAGTTCCAGATCCTGGTCCACGGGTCCCAGAATCTGGTCCACGGGTCACAGATCCTGGTCCACGGGTCACAGATTCTGGTCCACGGGTCCCAGATTCTGGTCCACGAGTTCCAGGTTCTGGTCCACGAGTTGCAGATTCTGGTCCACTGGTCCCAGATTCTGGTCTCAGAGACCCAGATCCTGGTCCACGGGTCACAGATTCTGGTCCACTGGTCCCAGATTCTGGTCCACTGGTCCCAGATTCTGGTCTCAGAGACCCAGATTCTGGTCTCTGAGATCCAGATTCTAGTCCAAGAGACCCAGATTCTGGTCCATGAGTCCCGGGCTCCATGAGTCCAAGAGTCCGCGAGGGGCGACACCTCCCCAGCAGCGAG